GACTTTCGCAAGTATATAAGAGCAAGAGGTAAAAATTCGTAGAACTCAGACTATGAAGTCAGTATTATGATGAAGAGATTGTCATACGAGCCATCGAAATTCCACTCGTCTGCAAGGGCATCTAAGAGACAATAATGAATGTCACCTTCATCTCGGCTTTCATGACGCTCAGTAAGGAAGTCGCCGATAAACTGACCCACACGTCTGTCATAACGAATACTGGTATCAACGGAATGATCGGGTCAAATCAGATGTGGCAAGTGTTGACCAGCAAAATATCGTGATGTGCAGGCAACGGATCGCTAACTTCGCTCAACTCCATGCTGGAATACACCTTTCAGGGAAGCATATCACAATTGATGTGACCAACAGCTTCACGAATTATAGTGTCCGTGCTCAAAGTTCTAGCTACCAATTCCGAAGAGTTTCTGCGTGCTTTTTTTGAGGGGGGAACTTCAGTGCATAGGAATTACAGACCTTTTAGGCAAATCACCTGAATTGAGCAAGGCCATTACGGAATTTGAGAAAACCATCAGCTTTTCGAAGGAAGGTTTGACGTGGCCCTCCCTCAGAAGGATGGATTCCAACTTTGAAGCAATACAAAAGTCACCATTACTCGACTGGACAAACTTATCAGCCGCGTCAGTGCTAAGAAGGGCTCTTTGAATCATAAGAGAGTACTGTCACCTTTACTCGACTGGACAAACTTATCAGCCGCGTCAGTGCTAAGAAGGGCTCTTTGAATCATAAGAGAGTACTCGCGAGCAGAAAACGCTGAACTTGTCAGCGATGTAACTTCTGACGTGACGGAGTTATACGCCGCACAAGGAACAAGCGTTGATGACAAATTGTGTGGTTTCTGACGCTTCGTCACTTGCATGCCAAGGGATGTAGCTACTTAACGACTGCCCCGAAAAAGCTGACAGTTTTTGTCGATACCTCGTGCATATTGTACTACGCCTAATAACACACCCGGTGGCGATGATTACTCACATAGAACAGGCAATATTTTGGACGGCGATGCGGGAAGACAACAGATATGCTTTCCGCTTACTCTGGTTTGAAGAAGGAGATTTATCCGAGGCCAAGCTACAAAAGTGCAGAATGAAACGAGTGCCGTTCGGAGCCACATGTAGCCAATTCCTGTTGACCATTACTATTCTCAACCACGTGAAATGAGCACCGGGAGCCGTTGCACAAACAGCCCAAATTTTTTACTGTCTCAATTTACGTCGACCGCATAGTCACTGGGGCCGACACACGAGGAGGCCGATGAACTTTGCCGAGAAGCGCAAACAATAAGGAAATCGGCAAGCACGACACTGCGCACATGGACCTCGAATTTAGAAAATTTGATGCTGAATCTTCAACGTCAGCAACAGTGTACCAATAATGAAATGGTCGTTCTTCGTGAAACATCCGTGATCGTCTTGGGTCTTTTCTAGTATTCTGCAAGAGACGAATTCAGCTTTACGATTGTAAATCAACTCAAATTTAAGCCAGCACAGAGGGACGCATGGCTATTTGTCTTGCAGGTGGTTTTAAGAATATCTAACCCGTTGAGACATGTCGGACAATATACCATTTCAGCGTAAATATTATTTCAGAAGCTCTGTATACGAGGCATCAACTGAAAAGAAGTGCTGCTCAATAACCTGCAAGCGGAATAGCGTTATTGGGAATTCCAGTTGCCGCAACCGCGAACTGTTATTGACTCTCGCTATCTGTCCATCGAAGAGAAAATGCCCAACGAACTTCAATTACATCTCTTTTGTGACGCCAGTCCTGTGGCGTACGGAGCAGCAATATACGTCGTGCTTAGTCCTAAGAAGCCGACAGTGTTTATTGCAAAGTGACATGTAGCACCTAATAAGGTAACGACGCTAGTGAGATAGAGTTTTTGGCTTAAGCAAATGCTCAAGAATGTTGAGCTATGGTATAAATTACTTGAAAAGTGTTTAGATTCCCTGCATGATGTGTGCGGACTACGTCATTGTGTTGCCCTGTATAAAAGGAGCTGCCATGAAATGCAAGCAGTTCGTAGCCAACATAGTCGTTGAAATCAGGTGCTCAACAAATTCATCAAATTGATGGTAGTGCCTTGGACTGGACAAACCGTCTGACCAGCTCACGCGTGGTATGACGTTTCAGAAAGTGCTGCGCATCTCTAAATGGTGCCATGGTCATGATTGGCTGGATAGACCGATGCCAGATTTGCCCCTACAGTTAAGCGAACTAGTCATACAGGAAGCTACACAAGATGAAGTCGCATCAGTGCACGTCGCAGCAGTAACACGATTCTCAACTCCAATAAATGACACTCGACAGTACAGCTGTCTTCAGCGCCTACTCAGAGTCACTGCGTCGGTAATCAGACTCATCGACCGTTGCAGAAATAGAACTGATCACACTGGACATCTCGTAGTAACAGAACTGCCGAATGCCTAGCAGTAGGGGATCTGACGTACTCAAAAACAAGTCGTTGCTGCAGAGTTGACCACTTTGTTCGAGAGCCAACAAGTAGAGTTCACTACTCAAATTGCTGAGCTAGCCCTCACCTAGACACAGACGGAGTTCTACGGCCTAGAGACCACTTGTCACTCATTCCTTCTCAGCAACACATTAAGATCTCAATGATACCACCATCAAGCGACGACTTTTCGATGCTTTTGGCAAACAGAGCTCACCTTAGAGTCTCACATGAAGGAGTTACAGATACGCATACCCAACTTCCAGGACGCTACTAGATTTGTCGAGGTCGCACTTTGGTGAAAAAAGTATTGCACAACTCCTGTGTATGCGAGCGTTTCAGTGTGGGCCCAAGAGGAGCCGAGACGGATCCGTTGGCAAGCCATCGAGTGTCACCGCTGAAACTATTCGAAGTTGTAGGAATATACTTGACTGGCTCTCTCTCCACACGCGCGAAAACTCGCGGTACCAAGTTTTACGTTGTACGTTTCATGTGCGCTTTCCTACGCCCGTACACCTCAAGCGCGTTTCTAAAATTACACCCGAGCCTTTCCTACTATGCTTACGGCGATTACCAGCTAAAAGAGAATTAACAAGTGTTATCTACTCTGACACAGCACGAACCTTTGACAAGGCATCCTCCGATATACGACGACTACACCAAATGATGTCCGCAGAGAAACTCGCTGGTCACCTTAGCACCAACGACATTTTGTGGAAGTTTATAGCGTAGTATGATTTTTGGTGGGGCGGATGATGGGAGAGCCAGGTACGACCAGTGAAGCTTCCGCTGCTTTCGGTGACCACTTTCCGCTCGCCACGTTCTCTTCGATCTTCCCAAGTCTTCAGCGGCCCACTATTCACTTAAAATTATTCAAAGCTCATCAGATACCTTTCAAAATCATTATTGTCTAGTGATTAGCTCTCGAGATGTTGCGTAGTATTTCTGAACGTGTCAATTTTACGTCCGCTTTTCACACCTCATAGCCTTGATGCGTTGCTCTTAAGTCATCGTCTTTTATTCGGCCACCCTTCGTGCACAATATTCTCTTAGCATTGCACAAACTCGTACTTCAATCATCACTTGCATTCGCTAGCATTTGGCCCCGCTTCTTCCTTCCGTTGGTCAGCATCAGTTATTATCCTCCTCCTCAACTAGCTTCTACACTAGCTAAGGAGAGAAAATGTTTGAGGTTCCGAATAGTTCCCCTCGATGACTCGAGTGCACGGTGGCTGTGCGAAGGAAGAGCCGTGGTCCGGTGAAGAGATGCTTTATTGCAGCCTTAGGCGTCTGCCCAAAGCCAAGCACGAACCTCCGCTCCACCCCTTCAGATTCAAGCATCCTCTTTTCAACCCTCGGTCAACAAAGGGTCTACACGCAAGCCAAACACACGAGTGGGCTCGGCTCACGACACCCAATCGCAAAAACACTTTCACAACAAGCACTGCATTGGTGAAAATTCCGTCACAAAATACAACACGAGACGGAAGAGGTTCTCCGCGTCTCGCACTCTCCATCATGCCAGGTGGTGTATCGGCCGACCTTTGTCGGTAGCCATTATCACGCTTGAAATCCATCAGCTTTCTCATTAACGTCGCTTCGTAGAAACCTCCGTAAGGGCGGAGGTTGCACCGTCTAGCCCTGTGCGCTGACCAGGTGTGCATGCGACTGCGAAGCGCCCCGCCATCCTAACAACACTCGGTATGGACGCATGCGGTGGAGGAGAAGCTCATGCCATGCCGCCTCTATGTCTTGGTCAGCGCAGTGGTCGCGTCCCCACGGCATTACCAATGGCACGCAACAATGGCTTAAACACAGATGGCGTCACCTGGCCTGCTTCTTGCCAGACGCTCTTTCGAGTAAACCTTCCCCTTTTAGTTCCAAAACGGGGGAGTTCTTGACGGCTCCGCTCGTGAACCGTGTGAACGAAGGAGTCCCCTTCAATTTCCGTGCGCAGGTCTCCCGCGTTCGCCTTCACGGAACCGATCAGCTTCATTAGTTCACGGGTCAGGACCTGGCTCTACGCTCTGCATCAGCCGCATCAATTGCGCTAAACACTACACGCCGCTAAAGGTTACCTCATACTAAATGCGCCCAACTGTCAACCAAAGCATCTGACTTACCCTTCATTGGATCTTTTTGGAGACGCTGGTATTCACGAGCAAGAGATCGTGGTGAGGTTCTGATTGGGCAGCTTAATGAGCGATTAAGGTGGTTAACCTTCATTTGTAATGCAGCAGCAAACTGACTTGATATTTTTTTGGTATTAGCTCTTACTGCAGCGCCAATATTTGAGTGACTTTGTATGTGCTTCATGGCCACTGCTTTTTAAGATATTTCGGCACTGACTTGAGGTGTAGTACCCTATCTCACAAAACTTGAACCATGTTATATATAGCATAAAACAGGCAATCATATTGTCATGCAGCGCTCTTTCTGACAATGCTATATACGTGCTGGATAATGCATGAAACAGGCAATGACAAGTTTACATATAAAAAACTGTCGTCTTTTTCTTCAGATGCGTTATTTGGCTCTAAAAAATCATCATGAGAAGAAAGTTGTATTTTACATTTGTCTTGACGTACATTGTTGTGTCGGCTTTGTGCGGCAGATGTGAGTAGTTTTACTTCCTTAATATGTAACATGAACGCAAGGAACATTCAAAAATCTAATTTACGATTAGCTTGACCACATGTATGCCATAAAGTAATACCAGTTTACTCGCAGCACGAACTTTTTATTGACAGAAGTGTTTGAGAATCAATTATGTTGACAATTTCGATAGCTCTGATTCAATAAACTAACCCAGTTTAGTTTTTTAATGCAGTCCAATATTTTTTCACTAAAAGTGAAAGTTTCTGTCCTAAAACTTTCAAGCAGTGTGTTGGAATACGTTACCTTTACGCTCCTTTCAGTGCACGCCCCTTCAATATTACATATTGAACATATGTAATATAAAATTCAGAAAGCAAGCTAGCAACAATACACCAATTTCATGTCATAAGCTTAGCGCTGGCTACATAAATAACGCAGTTGTGACAGAACGCCTCTTTGGCTTGTGATGGGCATTAAATTCTTTTTGGGCACACGCCCATTGTAGAAAAAAATGGCTACATTCGCAATTGTAAAACACAGTTGAAACAATATGCATGTGCACCTAAATTTTCTTCTGCTGATTTCACATTTTCGTATTTTCAATACATCATGCATCAATCATTTTGATAATCGTGTTAGCGCATACACGTGTCAGCTATCGACAACCTTTCAGGAAGAATCATCCAATATGTAAAGCGGTACACACGCCATATTGACAGATTTCTTAACTGCATGGCCAGGCAATGACAATTTCTCGTGTTTTCTTTTTTTGCGGTTGTGCACGTTTCAGTTCTTAGTCGCCATTTGCGATGTTCTTAGTTTCTTCTTGCGTCCACACTTGCATTTTATCTCTTTCAGAATGAATACATAACACTAGATCCGTACTCTGTTATTTTAGGCTGTCTCTTCTTTGGAGTATGCCCTTGAGGTTTTTTTTAACCTGCTTGAGTATCGGTATCGCGTCACACATACTCTGGGTCCAGACAATACATCAAAACTTCGTGGCAGCGGTAACACCAAACTATTAGGTGATGTTCCTGAATGTCATTTTCCTTTGAGTACATAAAAGTAATGTGAATAACCAACACTTGTAGCTCCTATATAATAATTCTTTAAGCCATAATTACCACTTGTTTTTTAGGCATAACGTTTCTCAATGCAGAGGACGAGGCAAATTTTATCTGAGCTTATTTTTAGGTACAAGCCAATGATCATCCTTCAATAAAGGGTTATTACCCTATAGCACATGTGCATCACTGATAATTTACGCGTGGTTAAACAAATCTTCTTATGAAATCTTTCGCACATACTTTTCTAGCCATCGGTTCGAACGTCACACTCCATTCTAACATCAACCTGAAGAAAGTGAGAACGGTAAGTTTGAAATGAGAAGGTTTTCAGGTGAGGAGGATCTTTTACTTGGGTTTATGTCACTCGTGAGTAGTCCACACTCACAATACGCACGCGTGACTGCCCTCATGCCCTTTCTCCAACAAGTGGACATGACTCTCTTCACTTCTCTTCTACCACCTTACTGCGCGTGCTGCCCCATTCTATGGACTGCGCAATATTTTTACTACACGTTCGCATTTTTCCTGGCTCCACATTTTTTCTTTTTTTCTCCCGCGAGTTTTTAAAAAATTTAGTCATACAGTTTAATCTTCTAATAACGCCCACACAGTCTCTGAGGACTTAAGTAGCACGATGCAGACCCATGTAGGCTCTTTTTTTTCGATCGGCTTTTTAGGTAATGTTTTTTTTATTACCCCAAGCCAGCCGATTCACTTATTCTTCCCTGGCACTCCTTGTGATGGATGATAACCCCAGGTCAACCTCTCCCTTGGAATTCACCATCTGCGGTAGCTCTAAACGCTCGCGAGCGTTTCAGCTTCTTTTCTAGGAAGAAACCAACACCCTTTAGCAAGATGAAGCCACAAAACCAGTGTCACCACGCCGTCATCCTCGCAAAGTTTGCAAGAGCCCTGCTCAGCCATGCAAGCAAAAACGACCAGCCACGGCTGTCCCAGGCCCCATCCACATAGCACCAGCACTGCCATTCAGCCCCGGCCGCTTCAACTCAGCGGGCCAACGAAGCCCCTGCTGTCATGATGAGACAAGCGCAAAAATACACACACTCAGAGAGGACACAGACAAGCGCTTACTATCAGACAGGAACTTAATCACAGGTCCCATTTTCTTTGCCATGTGTGGTGTTACAGTGCTAGACGAAAACACATTCACACAATCAGTACTGCACCTCAGTTTTTTCTCGTCCTTCACACGGCTTGCCACGGACCTGGCCACTTCCACCTTCTCGGCACGGCACAGAACTGGTTACACACAGAACTTGGGTCCGTGTTGAAGAGCCTTTTATGATGGTCGGGCAAAGCCAGATCTCCTAGGATCATGACCTTTCCTTTCATACTTGCGCGTCTTTCCTTCTTGTGTAGACTTCTTCGTGCCTGGTTTCACAAAGCCTCTGTGGCACTTTCTAACAGCCGTAGCCACTCTCGGTAGTGTCGGTGTCCATTTCCACTCTGAGTGCGACAGGCCACTCGCAAGCAGTCTTTGAAATACCGAACCTGATGGCTCCATTCCGAGGACAGTTTTTTGCATAAACGTCGGCTGTTTCCACGAGTAGGAGCCAGTAACCCACACAAAAGTTGCACATCCGGGAGGCACAGCGACGCTCGGTTATACCAAGAGGCAATTCGAATCTTGCAAACGTAGAGAGCGATTAACGAGGTGATGGTGGCAGGTTTAGAAAGGAAGGCGGTGTTAACACATGGAAAAGGGCCCTCTGTACTAGAAATTACATTTAGGATGACTACCAGTTGGGCGTGTTGGTAAAGGTTCATAATGAGACAAACGCTAAAATACACACACTCAGAGAGGACACAGACAAGCGCTTACTATCAGACAGGAACTTAATCACAGGTTCCATTTTCTTTGCCATGTGCGGTATTACATTGCTAGACGAAAACACATTCATAAAAGGCTTCTTCAACATGGAGCGAACTTCTGTGTGGAAGCAGTTCTCTCCCGTGCCGAGAAGGTGGAAGTGGCCAGGTCCGTGGCAAGCCGTGTGAAGGACGAGGAAAAACTTAGGTGCAGTACTGATTGCGTGAATGTGTTTTCGTCTAGCATTGTAACACCGCACAAGGCAAAGAAAATGGGACCTGTGATTAAGTTCCAGTCTGATAGTAAGCGCTTGTCTGTGGCCTCTCTGAGTGTGTGTATTTTTGCGCTTGTCTCATCATGAGCCTTTACCAACACGCCCAACTGGCAGTCATTCCTGCTGCCATCTTGTCTCGCCCTCCCTCCCAAGACGTCCATCTTACCGCCGAGGCAAATAGTTAGATAGCGAAATGGTGCGTCGTCTTCTGCTGCGGTACTTCTGATTCGAGGCATATGCCTTCACCGCGTCAAAGTCCCAGCTTCGCAGTGTAACAGTAAAGGAAACATGTGCATATGTGCGACGTGTTTGTAGCAGCTTCTTCAATGAATACGTTCTTTCGTGTTTTTTTGCGCATGAATAGACAAATTTCACGCAATTCAGAAATAACGCGGGAATCTGAAATGGGCAAACGGAAAGAACGATAAGAGGTGGGTTAACAACGCAGCATGCGATCACGCTTCGATTCATACAGTAATATTTTCCAGAACCACCTCGATTTATTATTTTCGAGCACTATAATTACCACTTCACGAATTATTACCTTGCCGCAATGAAGACGCTGCTGCTTGCACAAAAAAAGTGTAGACAGAAAGAGAGATAGAGCACATTGACAGTCAAATATCTCACCTGCTGTGAGCCAAAAACGCGATGCAGGCTGAATGGAAAACGCAGAACCTGAACCGACACCTACGCAAAAAAAAATGCTGAACTCACAGGCAGATAGATGAGCATAGTGAAACGCTAGCTCGACAGCAATCGGGCGAAGTAAGCAATGCCACCGAAGGGCAAACGAGGAGTGGTGCGAAGTGGAACCTCCTCAAACATCTACTGTGAGATAAGCAATTCAAAGCCAATCAGCAGCTTACAATTGACAGAATTATCCACAAACTAAACAACTCTATTCTGACAAAGACACAAGTTATTGATGAGCTCGCCTCGATATTGTCACGAGGTTGTGATACACGCAGCACTTGAGAGGAAGCACGCAGGAGTCAGGGCGGTGTCAGGCGAACTGTTTATTGGGCAAACTTGTGCCCAGCAAAACAGGGCCAAACACAACTCACAGCAACAGCGGCGTGAACAGTCGTCGGCCGACGGAAAAAAAAAAAGACCCCCAGTGGCGCACTGCGCCGGCTTTTTATACACGCGTCGTAACGCGTTCCAAAGTGGCATACAAGATAAACGCGGCCTGCGTTGCGCTTAACAGAAAGTGATAGCGTCTTCCTTCGCAAACGAAAAGAACCGCACGTGTCAGTTTTTATACACGCGTCGTAACGCGTTCCAGAGTGGCATACAAGATAAACGCGGCCTGCGTTGCGCTTAACAGAAAGTGATAGCGTCTTCCTTCGCAAACGAAAAGAACCGCACGTGTCAGTTTTTATACACGCGTCGTAACGCGTTCCAGAGTGGCATACAAGATAAACGCGGCCTGCGTTGCGCTTAACAGAAAATGATAGCGTCTTCCTTCGTAAACCAAAAGAACCGCACGTGTCACTACCCCCCTCTGAAAAAGCATCGTCCCGATGCTAAAGACAGAACATAAGAGAGAGTACATGCAATAAATTACATTAACAATGCGTCACAGCTAATCAGCGCGCGTAATAAGGTTTAAGTCGCACCACGTGTACGACTTCGGGTCGTGCACGGCGTCATTGGGATGACGTTAAGCCATCGGGCACGACCTCATAGTCCAGTTCACCACGACGTCGGACTACCTTGTAGGGTCCAAAGTAGCGTCGCAGGAGCTTCTCAGACAATCCCCGTCGTCGTATCGGCGTCCAGACCCAAACAAGGTCACCTGGTTGGTATTCGGTGTGGTGTCGTCGAAGGTTGTAGTGGCGCCTGTCGACCGTCTGTTGGCTCTTGATACGCAGGCGGGCTAGCTGTCGAGCTTCTTCAGCGCGATCCAGGTAGCTGGCGACGTCGAGGTCTTCTTCGTCGGTGCCGAGCGGTAGCATGGCGTCAAGCGTCGTTGTTGGGCTCCGTCCGTAGACGAGCTTGTATGGAGCAAACTGCGTCGTTTCCTGCACGGCCGTGTTGTACGCGAAGGTTACATACGGGAGTATGGCGTCCCACGTCTTGTGCTCGACGTCCACGTACATGGCCAGCATGTCGGCGATGGTCTTATTTAGACGCTCGGTGAGGCCATTCGTCTGTGGGTGGTACGCGGTGGTTCGGCGGTGGCTTGTCTGACTGTACCTCAAGATCGCTTGCGTTAGGTCAGCCGTAAAGGCCGTACCTCTGTCGGTGATGAGGACCTCGGGGGCTCCGTGGCGGAGGACGATGTTCTCAATGAAGAACATGGCGACCTCGGCGGCAGTGCCCTTGGGCAAGGCCCTTGTTTCGGCATAGCGGGTGAGGTAGTCAGTCGCTACGACAATCCATTTGTTGCCAGAAGTTGACGTCGGGAACGGCCCCAGTAAGTCCATGCCGATTTGTTGGAATGGCCGTTGAGGTGGTTCGACGGGTTGCAGAAGTCCGGCTGGCCTAGTTGTCGGCGTCTTGCGTCGCTGACAGTCTCTGCATGTTTTTACGTAGTGGGCGACGTCGGCAGCGAGGCGAGGCCAATAGTACTTCTCTTGTATTCGTGACAGTGTGCGGGAAACACCAAGATGTCCGGCTGTCGGGTCGTCGTGTAATGCTGCCAGAACCTCTGGACGTAACGCTGAAGGTACCACGAGGAGGTGGTCGGCGCGGAGCGGCGAGAAGTTTTTCTTCAGGAGGACGTTGTTTCGCAGGAAAAACGAAGCCAGTCCTCGGCGGAATACTTTCGGCACGTCGGCGGTCTTGCCTTGCAGGTAGTCCATGAGGATCTTGAGCTCCGGGTCAGCTCGTTGGCGTTCCGCGTAGTCGTCGGTACTTATGGGTCCCAGGAAAGAGTCGTCGTCCTGGTCATCCTGGGGCGGCGGATCGACAGGGGCGCGAGACAAGCAGTCGGCGTCGGAGTGCTTTCGTCCGCTCTTGTAGACGACGGTGATGTCAAATTCTTGTAGTCTGAGACTCCACCGTGGAGGCGCCCTGATGGATCCTTCAAGTTAGCTAGCCAACACAAGGCGTGGTGGTCACTCACGACTTTGAAAGGCCTGCCGTACAGGTAGGGGCGGAACTTTGATGTAGCCCAGATGATGGCAAGGCATTCCTTTTCTGTCGTGGAATAATTGGCTTCTGCCTTCGAAAGTGACCGGCTAGCGTAACT